ATAGTGAAGAAGATGGTTTTAGGAAGATATAATTGGGTTGGGTCATACAGTCATAGAGCCATACAGCATGAAAACAGATCTTTAGGTTCAACTCATCCATGCCGACCAGGTTTCCCAAACTAAATTTCCCATTTGCTTGCTTTTGGCCCGTATCCCTTGACACCTTTCCCATCCACGTACCTGTCCAAATGTCTTTTAAATCTCGTAATTGTAAACTGCCTCTACACCTTCCTCCTGCAGCTTGTTCCATACAAGCACCACCCTCTGTGTGGAAAAAGTTGCCCCTCAGGTCCCTTTTAAATCTTTTCCCTCTCACCTTAACCCTATGCCCTCTGTTTTGGACTCCCCTACCCCAGGGAAAAGGACTTTAGCTCTTCACCTTATCTATGCCTCTCAAGATTTTATCAACCTCTATAAGGTCACCCCTCAACCTCCTATGCTCCAGTGAAAAAAGTCCTAGCCTATCTTTAATGATCATAATTCTATTAGTTTTAAAATTGTATGGAAAAGGATAAGCCTTCCATAAAAGTTAAAGGTTTTAAGAAAGGCAAATTTTAATGGTATGAGACAAGAGCTTTCAAAAGTTGATTGGTGTAGACTGTTCACAGGTAAAGGGACGTTTGATAAGTGGAAGTCTTTCAGAAGTGTGATAATGAAAGTTCAGAGTCATTATGTTCCTGCTAGAGTGAAAAGTATGACTGGTAGAATTAGGGAACAATGGATGAATAGAGATATTGAAGCTCTTTGTCATGAATAAAAAAGAATCAAATAATCATATATTAGATATAGACAACTGGGATCAAATGAATCTCTTCATAGAATCCCTACCTTGTGGAAGCAGGCTATTTGGCCCATCAAGTCCACACCGACCCTCCGAAGAGCATCCCACCCAGAGCCAGCCCTCTGCCCTATCCCTGTAACCCTAAAATATAAAAGTGGATAAATCTCTGGGACCTGATCTAGTGTATCCCAGGATGTTGTGGGAAGCGAGGGAGGATATTGCGGGGCTCCTTGCAGAAATATTTGTGCAGGCGAGGTGCCCGATGACTGGAGAGTGGCTAATGTTGTCCCTTTCTTTTCAAAAAGGGATGTAAGGAGAAGCCTGGGAACTATAGGCCTGTGAGTCTAACTTCGGTGGTGGGTAAGTTAATGGAGGTGTTTCTGAAAGATAGGATTTGTATGCATTTCGAGAGGCAAAGAATGATTAGGGATTATCGGCATGGTGTTGTGTGAGGGAAATCGTGTCTCACAAAATTTGATTGAATTTTTTGAGGAAGTAACCAAGAAGATTGATGAGGGTAGAGCGGTAGACATTGCTTCCTTGGACTTTAGTAAAGCCTTTGAAAAGGTTCTGCATGGTAGACAAATTAGTAAAGCTAGATCACATGGGATTCAGAGTGAGCTAGCCAATTGGGTACAAAATTGGCTTAACGGCAAGAGACGAGTGGTGGTGGAGGATTTTTTTTTGGACTGGAGGCCTGTGACCAGTGGTGTTCCACAGGGATCAGAGTCATGTCCACTTTGGTTTGTCATTTCTATAAATGATTTAGATGAGAATATAGAAGGCATGGTTAGTAGCTTTTGGATGATACCAAAATTGATGGTATAGTAGACAATGAAGAAGGTTAGCGGGCGGCACAGTGGCTCAGTTGTTAACATTACTGCATCACAGTGCTAGAGATCCAGGTTCAACTCCAGCCTTAAGTGACTGTCTGTGTGGAGTTTGCACATTCTCCCCGTGTCTGCATGGCTTTCCTCCGGGTGCTCCGGTTTCCACCCACAGTCCAAAGATTGTGCAGGTTAGGTGGATCTGCCATGCTAAATTGCCCATAGTGTTCAGGGATGTGCAGGCTAGGTGGATTAGCCATGGGAATTGCAGGGTTACAGGGATAAGGTAGGGGGGTGGGTCTGGGTGAGATGCTTTTTGAAGGGTTGGTGCGGACTTGATGGGCCGAATAGCCTGCTTCCATACTGCAGGCATTCTACGATTCTATGATCTAAGATTACAAAGAGATCTTGATCAATTGCGTCATTGGTCTAAGGAGTGGCAGATAGAGTTTAATTTGGATAAATGCAAGGTATTGCATTTTGGTAAAACAAATAAGGGCAGAACTTATACAATTAAAAGTAGAGCCTTGGTTAGTGCTGTAGAACAGAGAGACTGAGGAGTTCAGGTACCTAATTCTTTGAAGTTTGCGTCACATCTAGATGGTGGTCGGGGGGATAGTGGTGAGAAGGCGTTTAGCCTTCATGCTTGTCTTCACTGCTCAGGCCTTTGAATATAGGATTGGGACGTCATCTTGAGGTTTTACAGGACGTTGGTGAGGCCTCTTCTGGAGTACTGTGTCCAGTTCTGGTCTCCCTGTTATAGGAAGGATATTATTAAGCTGGCGAGGGTTCAGAAAAGATTTACCAGGATGTTGCTGGGAATGGAGGGTTTGAGTTATAAGGAGAGGCTGGATTGGCTTGGATTGTTTTCTTTAGGGAGAGAAGGCTGAGGGGGTACTTGATTGAGGTGTATAAGATTATGAGGGGTATGGATAGAGTGAGTGGGGAGCAGCTGTTCCCCTTTGTTAAGGGGTTAATTATGAGAGAACACAGTTTTAGGGTAAGGGGAAGGAGATTCAGAGGGGATTTGGGAAAACACTTTTTGACTCAGAGGATGGTGAAATCCTAGAATGCACTGCCTGGAAACGTAGTTGAGGCCAAAAACCTTACACCCTTTAAAAAACATATAGACGAGCACTTGAAATAACATAACATTCAAGGATATGGGGCAAGTGCAGGAAATTGGGATTAGCGCGCCTTTAAAGTAGCAGTTATGTCAGAGCAGACTTGATGGGCCAAACGGCCTTTTCTACGCTGTATGAATCTTTGACTCAATCCTAAAATGGAATGTGTGCTACATGGATCGATTATTCTCTCACCCCTCCTGACTCTAAGCTCTGCGCATCTGTAAACTCATTTCAATTTCCTCGCTCCACTGCAAATCTTTCATTCCTGCCTCTGCAGATATAGCAAGTTTGCATGGACACTGGTGGGCACAAATGGACTGGCAGTAGCACTGGTGCGTTTGGAACTTAACATTATGACCATACACAAGGTCACCAACACAAAGTGTGGCAAAAAAAAACAGAAATAAGCCCATCGAATCAGTCTCGATGTTAAGGAGAACAATAAGCCAGCTGAGAGAAGTGTCCAGCTATACCACGCAGCATTCCAATATTCCAAGATGAAGTTGGAGATTGAGGCTGAGGAAGATTACTATGAAAACAGCCAGCACTCTAACAATACACAGACTGCCAAGCACCTACAAGTCAAGATCTCCTAATTATACCTAAATTTGGGCGGCTCAGTGGTTAGCACTGCTGCCTCACAGTGACAGGAACCCAGGTTCAATTCCACCCTTGGGCGACAGTCTGTGTGGAGTTTACACATTCTCCCCCTGTCTGCGTGGGTTTCCTCCGGGTGCTCCAGTTTCCTCCCACAGTCCAAAGATGTGCAGGATGGGTGGATTGGCTATGCTAAATTGCCCACAGTGTTCAGGGATGAGTAGATTAGGGGGATGGGTCTGGGTGGGATGCTCTGAGGGTTGGTGTGGACTTGTTGGGCCAAATGGCCTGTTTCCACACTGTAGGGATTCTACGAAAAAACCTAAGTCTATTCAGCCTTCAGCCTCTTCTACCAAAGTGAAGTGTGTAGATCTCAGGAAGGTTATACTGTCAAGAGATTGGGAAGAATTAGTAAACCTTTATATTATGAAGACTTAAACTCTTAAATGAGATCTATTTTTTGTGTAATAGTTTCAGCAACCACCCTACTTTGTTATTTATATTTACTTTTGCTGTATACAATGGCTATCTTCAGAGAAATAAAGGAGGATGTTGCTATATGGCTTGAAGATAACATGTGAGTGGTGTACAGGTGTGATTGAAGAACCAGGATGCAAAACAGTATATGACTAGGTGTGTGTATGTGAGCATGTACCTGTGTGCATGTGTGTGTACGTGTCTGTGCGCACACATATCCACGTGTGCACGTATGTAAGTGTACATGTGTGTACACATGTGTGGAATCTCCAGGTTAGACATGTTTCTTGATCGCTCTTGTATTTTGAATATATTAGAACTAGTCTTCAAATAAAAGCACTTAACTACAGTTTACCAATTCTTATACATGATTGGAGAGTTTGCGCAAAAAAGAGCAAGATGGTCTTAGAGGGCATACAGAACAGATTCAGCGGAAAGACAGAAGAAAATAAAATTTGCATTTATAGGGGGTAAAAGGGTGAGGAATGATGAAGAGGAAAGCTCTTTCAGAAACAGTGCACAGAGTAGATGGGAGAATGGGGAAAGGACAGGAGAATGAGACAGAGCACCTTAACAGAATGCTGAAGGGAACTGGAGAAGTTCAGGGGAATGAAACTTAAAATGAAATCATTCTGGCCATATAGGTATCACTGTGAGGGCCAGCATTTAATTCCCATCTGTGGTTAACCCTCAGAAGGTGGTTGTGACTTGCATTCTTGAACAGTTGGAGTGTATGTTGGGAAGGCATTCCCATAATGCTATTAGAAAGTGAGTTCCATGAGGTCAGCCACTTATTGTAGAATACTCAGCCTCTGATCTCCTCCTGTAGTTAAGGTATTCATGTAGCTGATCACACTGAGTTTTTGGTCAAAGAGGCTTGCTCTTTGAGAGACAAGGTACAGGTGTGGCAGGTCGATATGGTGAAAGGGCAAGAGGGACAGCTCTTTCAGAGAAAGAAGACACATGGTGACCAAATGGGGAAAGGTGACGATTCATGGGACAAATGCGATAGCTCCACCAGCGAGAAAACATAACAGCAATGGGCTAATTGGGCTCCTTCTGCGCTGTCAAATTATAGAGAAGCAAAAACATACTATGTTGCAAGGCTGCCTGCTTAGTACTCCATTTGAATTCAGAAGCCACTAAATCCAATTTCCAGATAATAATACACCATACTAACAGCATTCTTACCATCACTGTCTAAAATATAATCTCGAGGAAACATGATACCACAACCCATGATATCACCCTTGTAGCAGCGAGGGCCAAAGGGATCTCCCACTCCACTTCCTTGGAAAAGCTTGCCATCATCTGAGAAAAGAAATCAGAGAATTTAGTAACACACACACACGGACACCAATCCAGTCTTTCTCTCCTTCTCACACCCAGGCACAGGTACACACACAGAAACCAATCCTACTTTTCTTGTCCTCTCACACCCAGACATCAATCCTGTCTTTCTCTCCTTCTCATAGGTAGGCACAGGCATACACAGAGACAAATCCTGTTTTTATTTCCCTCTCACCCAAGCAAAGGAACTACACATAAACTGACAATGCCTGACATACGCACACTCATAGACACTTTCTCTATCACACTCACATCCAGGTACTACTAAACACTGGCAACTAAGCTTTAAGGGGATAGAGTATAGGAGTGGGACTGACTGCCTTGCTTAACAAAGAACCAGCGTGAACTTGATAGGCTTAATAGCCAGACTTCTTCTGTAACGACTCTTGGACTTTCACATATTACAAGAACAACTTATGTTTACACAGTATTTTTGACATAGTAGAACACTCCATGAAGATTCACAGGAACATTATCAGACAAAATTTGAGACTATTGTGTTTGAAATATTGTGTTCAAATCTGATCGCCACACTACCAGAAGGATGTGGTGGCTTCGGACAGGGTACAGAAAAGATTTATCAGGATGTTGCCTGGTAATGGAGGGCATTAGCTATGAGGAGCGGTTGGAGAAACTTGGGTTGATCTCACTGGAATGACGGAGGTTGAGGGGTGACCTGATAGAGGTCTACAAGATTATGAAGGGCATGGACAGACTGGACAGTCAGAAGCTTTTCCCCAGGGTGGAAGAGTCAGTTACCAGGGGCCATAGGTTTAAGGTGCGAGGGGCAAGGTTTAAAGGCGATGTACGAGGCAATTTTATTTACACAGAGGGTGGTGAGTGCTTGGAACTCGTTGTCAGGGGAGGTAGTGGACGCAGATACGATAGTGACATTTATAGGATGTCTTGACAAATAGATGAATAGGATGGAAATAGGGGGATGTGGTCCCTGGAAAGGTAGGGGGTATTAGTTGTGACAGGCAGCATATTGGTGCAGGCTTAGAGAACCAAAGGGCCTGTTCTTGTGCTGTAATTTTCTTTGTTCTTTGTTCTAAGCTATTTAAGGACATATTAGGACAGGGGGTGAAAGCTTGGTCAAAGTAGTTGTCTATAAGTAGCATTGTAATTTGAACATTTTATAGTTTGTGGCATGCAGAAGTGATGGGATTTGATGAGAGTTCGAGTTTTGGACGGGCTCATGTTTCTAGAGGTCACAAGAAAGAAGGTTCACCAAGAGTTTGTTGGAAAAGCTGAGTCTAACATAAAATGTTCATCCTTATTTTCAAATACCTCATGCCCTCACCCCTCCTTATCTCTGAAATCTCTTCCAACCCTACAACACTCTAAAATCTCTGCACTTCTTGAGGATTCCCAAATTTCATGGCTCCACCAGTGACTTCAGTGTCTTCAGCTGCAAAGACTCTAAATTTTGGAGGTTCCTTCCGACCAAGCTTTTGGTGCTAATATATCCTTTGACTTGGTGTCAAATAATGCCTGATAATAACCCTGTCAAACATCACTGCTAAAGCTGGTGGGTTTGCTTGAGCGGTTGATGGTTGTTGATTAGGCTAAACATATTTCACAAAGAGAAGGAGAATGAGAAAGTAGTAGAAAGAAGCAATGAGATAAGAGGACAATGAGATATAAACTGCAGTAAAATTTGAAATATCCCAAAAATTAGCAGTGGTCCCAAAGAAGAAAACAATTAAAGTGACAAAGGAGGTATTAAGCTGTGTGTATGTCAGTGCCCAGATGTAATCCGATAAATTTATAAGAACATAAGAACTAGGAGCAGGATCTGGCCATCTGGCCCCTCAAGCCTGCCCTGCCATTTAATAAGATCATGGCTGATCTTTTTGAGACTCAGCTCCACTTACCCGCCCACTCACCATAACACTTAATTCCTTTACTGTTCAAAAATTTATCTAGCCTTGCCTTAAAAACATTCAGCGAGGTAGCTTCAACCGCTTCACTGGGCAGGGAATTCCACAGATTCACAACCCTTTGGGTGAAGAAGTTCCTCCTGACCTCATTCCTACATCTGCTTCCCTTTATTTTGAGGCGATGCCCTCTCGTCCTAGTTTCACCTGCTAGCGGAAACAACCTCCCTGCCTCTGCCTTATCTATTCCCTTCATAATCTTATATGTTTCTATAAGGTCTCCCCTCATTCTTCTGAATTCCAATAAGTATAATCCCTGTCTACTCAGTCTCTCCTCATAATCCAACAATCTCAACTCTGGAATCAACCGAGTGAATCTCCTCTGCACCCCCTCCAGTGCTAGCATATCTCTTCTCAAGTAAGGAGACCAAAACTGCACACAGTACTCCAGGTGTGGCCTCACCAGGACCCTATACAGCTGCAGCATAGCCTCCCTGTTTTTAAACTCCATCCCTCTAGCAATGGCAGACAAAATTCCATTTGTCTTTTTAATTACCTGCTGCACCTGCAATCCTACTTTTAGCGATTCATGCACAAGGACACCCAAGTCCCTCTGCACAGCAGCGTGCTGCAATTCTTTACCATTTTTTACCATTTGGTGAACTGCAGGCACACACTGCCACATGAGATTATGACATGGTGGCATTAATGACATGTCTCAAATAAAGCCAGGAATGGGTTCTTAACATTTTGGTTATCAGATCTCCATGAATGATAGTAAAGGAAAAACAGACAGTCCTGATGAAAAATGATGTTAAAGCTCTAAATAGAAAAGATTTACTACGTAGTACAAGGAATATTAGGCTGGAATTAAGCAACAGAGAGCAGTTTTCACATAGAGATCTAAACTGAGAAATGAAACAGACAAACAAATGTGTCAGCAAATTTTAAAGGCTTGTAGTAAAATACACAATGTCAAGGGACTTTAATCACTCTAATATGGACCAGGGAAAAAAAAACATTATGCTAAGGATGGGGGAGGGAGGAATTTCTGATATGTACAGGAGAACCTTCTCAATCAGTTTGTCTCAAAATCAACAGGAAATGAAATAGTAAAATAAAACAAAGAACTGTGGATGCTGGAAATCTGAAACAAAAACAGAAACTGTTAGAGAAACTCAGCAAGTCTGGCAGCATCTATGTAGAGAAAGCTGCTTTCTCTCCAAGAAATGAAACAATGTTTGATTTGATTCCGGGAAATTGAGTGTTTTTCAGTAGGAATCAGCCAAATATAATTTATTTTAAAGTACTTATGGTAAAAATCTAGAAATATCAAAGAGTGAAGGTGATGGATCTTCAGGTAGGACGGGGGAGGGTGTAAAGAATAGATGGTGTCAAATTATTAATTAAGGAGTCAGTTCTGCAGTAAGAAGGGATGATATCTTGGAATGAGGCTTCAAATTTGTCTTCAAATGAGGCTTTGTGGGCAGAGCGTAGGAATAAAAAGAAGGCAGTCACGTTGCTGAGAGTGTATTATAGGCTCCCAAACACCTAGAGGGCAATAGAGGTGCAGATATGTAAACAATTCATGAGTTGTGTAAAAAATATTAACAGGTTAATAAGAGATTTCAACTTCTCCAAAATTCATTGGGATAGTCATAGTATAAATTGTTTAGAGGGTGGATTTCTTGAAATGTATTTAGGAGAGCTTTTCACATAGATAATCCAACAAGGGATGGTGCAGTGCCGGACCTAACTGTGGGGAATGAAGCCAGACAGGTGTTTGAGGTGGCCATGGGGGAGCATGTTAGTGAAAGTGACCACAATGCAAAATGATTTAAGATTGTTATGGAAAAGGAAAAAGATTATCTGCAAAAAGGGTTTTGGATTGGGGTAAGGCAGATTTTATTAAAATAAGGCAGGATCTGGCCAACATAGACTGGGAACAGCTAATTGTAGGAAAATCTTCAGAACAGTCAAAAAGGGAGAGTACAGGCCCAACATGTTCACTTTAGGGTGAAATGTAGAAGCAACAAGCCCAGAGATCCATGGATATCTAGGAATATTCAGGACTGGGTAATAAGGAAGGAAAACAGGCTTTTAACAGGTGCAGAGAGAGTAAATCAACAAAAGCCGTCATGCAGTACAGAAAGTATTGAAGGGGGTGGTGGCAAAGTTAAGAAAGCAATTAGGAGAGCAAAGAGGAGGCATGAGAAAACATTGGTGAACAAGATTAGGGAGAATCCCAAGATATTCTATATCAAGAGGAAAATGATAACCTGGGAAAGAGTAGGGCCCATTAGGGCTCTAGGGGGCAATCTATGTATGGAGTGAGAGGACATTGGTAGAGTGTTAAATGAGTACTTCACATCTGTCTTCATTCAGCAGAAGGAAGATGTAGAGATAGAATTCAGGAAGGTGGACTGTGAGGTTCTTGAGCAGATTGATAGAGTGAGTGAGAAGTTATTGGAGGTTTTGGCAGGTTCAAAAGTGGACAAATCCCCAGGTCTGAAGAGTTGTAGCCCAGGCTGCTGTGGGAGGCGTGGATAAAATTACAGGGGCCCTGACCCAAATTTTTAATTCCTCTCTGGCCATAGGTGCCAGAGGACTACAGGACAGCTAATGTGGTTTCACTTCTCAAGAAGGATGGTAAATATAAACCAGGGAATTACGGACCAGTGAGTCTCTCATCAGTGTTAGGAAAGCTATCGGAGAAAATGCTGAAGGAGAGAATTACTCTCACTTGCAGAGGTAAGGTTTGGTTAGGAATAATCAGCATGGCTTTGTAGGGAGGTTATGTTGGAGCTGTGCAGGTTTTTGGTTAGGCCACAGCTGGAGTTGTGTGCGCAGTTCTGGTCACCACTCTATTGGAAGGATGTGACTGCACTGGAGGGGTGCACAGGATGTTGCCCGGGATGGAGCGATTCTACTATGAAGAGGGGCTGGATAAGCTCAGGTTTTCTTTTTTGGAGCACAGACGGCTGAAAGGGGACTTGATAGAGGTGTATAAGATTATGAGGGGCATGGACAGGGTGAACAGAAAGCAGCTGTTCCTCTTAGTTGAAGGGTCAATAATAAGGG